TTTGCGCGGAGACGGTCTCGCAAAGGGAGACTTTAACTTCCCTCTACTCAGGATGGACTTCCCTGCCTCCAGGGAATGATCTCTACTATCCGCGGAAACGAAATCTTCCTGATCCGAGACCGGAGAATATTGAAGAAACAGTTCCTCGGACTCGCCCTGTAAGTTGTTTATCCCAAAATCGGATCTGACATCCTCCTCCTCCTGAGAGGAGGCATATGTCTCATCATAATATGTCAACCTATCCTGAGGCCTACCCAGGAAAGGCGAGGGGTCTCTCTCCTCGTCTTCTGCATCATCTGAGTCAGAGTCATCATGGGTGGGGTCTGTGCCTCCTTTACGGAACAGGCCGGCATGGACCACCAATTCGTGACCCTGAACCTCAAATTGTGAATCATCATCCAATAACAGACGTTTGCGCTTTTCCCTAGGTGGAGGGGGGAAATCTTCTTCCATTTTCTTAAGATCCCCACTCCCCCCCAAACCCCCTGTTGTGTCTTTATCGTCATGGGAGTCATCCGCCGGTCCGGGTTTGGAGCCTCTTTCGGTCTTTTCACCCTGACCGTCGTGCTCCCCCATGGGGATGTTTTTCTGGATCCCGTGATCCTACCCCTTCCCTCCCCCAAGATGGGATTCCTTCCCCGTACCAACTACCTCCTCATTCTTCTGTTCGTCTCCCTCCTTTCTGCCCTTTCCCTTTTCCTCATCTAGACCCTTTTCCCTCCCCTCGGAGTCGTTCTCTGTCTGGCTTTTGTCCGACGGGGTCTTCTCAGGCTTCCCAGCCTTGCCTCCACCCTTTTTACCCTTCTCCTTCTCTTTTTTCCCATCTTTCTCTTTTACTTGTTCCTTCTCCTTCCTTCACTCCTTTCCTTTCTCTTTCTCTTTCTCTCCCTTACCTTGATCCTTGTCCCTTCGACTTATCTTTCCCTTTCTGTTTCACTGCGTTAGCATAGGAGGTCTTTCGACGCGAGGAGCAATCCTCATCCCCTTCATGGTGGAAATGACGCCTACATGAAGCACACCAAGGCGTTTCTGCACAGGCCACCTCAATGTCCACGTAGCCATGGACCCTTAAGTCAACCACGAGGTATTTTTTATACCTCAGTCGTGCCGTTGATTCCAGGTCGAACCGAACATTCAACAGATCGGGTGATAGTTTATTTTTGAAAGCTGGGTATTCCTTAATTAAGTCGCTACCGTATGCATCACGAACTGCTCCCGGAAGCAAGGGGAGGGCTCTAATCGGAACCTGCTGACAGTGAATCCGGAATAACTTGTATTTTGCCACCTCCCTATATTCCCACAGTTCATTTTCTGTCATCCAAGGTTTGAACGCGACTTTATACTCCTGCCCATCCAACGAGATTTTGGTCTGGGCCACTCTAAGCATCCACGCGGCCACTTCCTTTGAAGGTGCAATGTATGCTATTAAATTTCGACCTTTATTGTGGAAGAGACCCCTCTTCGGGGGGTTGTTTGGAAACCCCCCCGAGGAGGCCCACCCATTCTCATAAGTTCTGACCAAGCGTTTTTTGACATCGATGGGGGTGGAAGAAGATTCATCTCCAAAGGAAATGGAGATGGCATGTTCCCGGAGCCACTCAGCCTGTACCTGGTAGAGCTCCTGATTCACTGTTACCTTGATGTAATCGTCCCCCACTTCCACTTTGGACGACACCAATCGTGGAGGAAGAACGCCATCGAGGTAACATTGAGAGATCAGGTCGCGGATTCGTTGTTTCTCGACAGGCGAAATAGACGATCCTGACTCTGTGTTCAACATAACGTTAAACTTAGATACTATAGATTAGTCACCTATCCTACCAAGGTTCAAAAAAATCCTAATTAATAGAAGCTTCCATAAATTAAGATAACCCAAGATACAATAAGAATAGGTATGATCCCGGGAAGTAAGTCCGTGTTGGGGGATTATACTTGCATACGCTCCCTTGTAGTCTTGAAGGTGCATTTGGCTCAGGGTAGTACCAAAACATCCGTTGTCCGCCCAAAGTCAAAGAGTAACTGTATCTTTACTACTGAGAAACTGAAAATGATCATGTCATAAAAAAAAAAAAAAAAAAAAAAAAAAAGACCACGTCGGCGCTGGCTTCCCCACATAAAGACCAGAGTTAACAGAAAGCATTACCCCAGTTGGCTTTGTAGTTACACTGCACATTCCAAGTCCTACATTTAGATCCAGTGGCTGAAAACAAATCTTCCCTCTATGTACTCTGGAACAGGCAAAGGCGTTCCCGCACGGCACACGAAACGAAAAACGAAACGAATGTATCTTCCCCCAGAAAAGGGTCAGGTTCATCGGTTTGCTATAAATAGGAACGATTGTATTTTGCCACCTTTGGTGGGCAGATGCACTCGTTTCATTTTCGTTTCGTGTGCCCTGCGGCGAGACCCAAAGCTGTCCTAGGCCATGGTCCCACTAGCAAACGGATAGGATAGAAGAGGGTATTTATTGGGTGACACAGTGGATGCCGTCGACATGCGGAGATCCGGTGGTTATGGATTTTAGTGATTTAGTGATTTATGTGTTACGTTTTTTGCGTTTTAGATATTCTTGCAGTACCGATTGTTCATTGGTCCGTTAGTTTTTTTTAACGTCTATATGTTTGTATCCGTTGGGGGTGTGGCCGACCCGACGACCCGACTGGGTTGACCATATGCCCTTGGACTCGGATAGAGGTGTTTTCTTGAGTGCAAGGAGGCACGTCGTCATTCTTTTGGGGCGTGGAGTTGGGGGCGGTTCGTGCGTATCCGCTGTGCCCGGCCGTCTGTGGGCAGTGTCTGCACAGTGGTCGTAGCGCATTGGATTGTGGAAAGATACGCTGCCGTATTTTGCGCAATGGGCATAGTTCGACACCACCACAAAACCCTTACATGTAAGGTTTTCATAGTTCCACCCCTCCCTAATCCCAAAGAAAAAGAAGTCGAACGTGTTTTCACATTCACGGCCGTAAGGGCGGGCCCTACAAAAGTAAGGACTTCCCAGCCAAAACGGACCTTGATGTAAGGACGCCCGTGGAGGTGACTTGAAAGTAGGGGGTGGCACCTTTACATCCGGGAAAGAACCATTTGTATCTTTTATTTTTTTTAACATCAGGTGTGTCATTCGGCCACTTAGAACGCAAACGGAGACACCTGAAATGTAAGTGCGGCTAAGTGTAGGGTTTTCGTAAGTGGTTGTGGATCGAAAAATGAGGTAACTGAAAATTAATGGCTTTTTCGCTGTAAGGGCACCCTTACAAAGTAAGGGTTTTGTAGTGGTGTCGAACTAGGCCCTCTCGCGGTGGCAACGAATAGCAGTGAAGCATGCATACTTAGCCGATAATGGTCCCGGTACATGGATAACTTATGATCTCTACGTCCGGATTTGGTGAAATAAGAGTCCACATACGTGTGGACTGCCACATATTGCTGCTGGCGTTTGAGTGCCCCGGCCCTGGCTCCCCGGCTGCGTGGGTTTTTATGTGCAGGTTTGTATCTCGCCATGTTGTCGCGGGAAGTTCACTCTCAGTTTGAACATTTTGAGAGATCTGGCTGGTGCTTCTCGCCATGCTGTTGCGGAGATCCAGCGGGTGCATGTCGCCATGTAAAGGCGGGAAGTTCATTCTCATCTCATTTTTCGCATTTCGAGAGTCGTGTGCCGATGCCCCCGGTGCAGGTTCGCCACTGCAAAGGCGGGCGGCAAGACGCGCGCGGTTGGAATGTAGATTATGGCATGTATAATGACCTAGGGCTAGGTCCCACTTACACGAATTAAGCGATATTGACCGTAGATAGCAAAGAAAATCACCGGCCAGAATCTCTTAATCCGTGCAAGCGGGACCTTGCCCGTGGCAATCACATTGTACACTGATGAAAAACCTTTTTTTTTCATTTCCTTCCCCAATGTGAAGATTCGAACTTAGGGCATCGCCACACCAATTTTTTTTCTTTTTTTTTCTTTTTTAATCTGGAAGGGTCAGGTAAGCAAGCTTACCCGTATGACCCCCCCCCCTGGCCCAGAAAAATTAATAGTGTTGTGGTCCGATGGCCCACGGATCAGATATTCAACTGATCAGAACAGATACTACACTTGATCTTAGGCCTGGACCCCACATGAATGCGGCAAGGAAAACTTTTGCCGTGGCATTGTTTCCGGGACCCCACATGCCCCGGAAAAGGTCGTGGAAAGGTTTGGTTTACTCCGCGGAATCATTCCGCGGGGCCCCACAGGCCGCGGAATGTGGCATGGAAAAGCTTCCGAAACCGTTTCCACATGGTCTGTGGTGTGAAAAAGTGACGCGGGAGGGATTTCCACCGCAATTTTGTGCCGACTCTCAAACGTTGGGGGGCGGTGCATCGCGAAGGTTTCCAAGGTCTCCAGCTCAGGTGGGAGTAGGAGATGTCCGGGCAGTCTACACTGTCGTCCATGTGTCGCACCACTCCGTCAACCGCCACCCGAAGTCGCCCTCCAACGGACATTGGTGGTTCCTAGGCTCCAGGGGCGGTCACTCGGACGGAGTTTCCATTGCGGGATGGCACCCCGGGCACATTTCCTATTACAGAAAGTTCAATCCGCAAAACGGCCTCCGCTGTGGGGTCCCCGCAGAAGGCCTTCCAAACTTGCCAAGACTCTTCTGACGGCCATTCTGCGGAAACGTCTTTTCCAAAGGAATTCCTGTGGGGTCCAGGCCTTAGAAAGGCCGAGAAACGTCGCCACACCACTCTCGAAATGTGCAAAATTGCGACTAGGATGATACGGATGCAACGCGTGCGTCATACAAACCGGCTGTTTCTACTGTCAATGTGGGTACGCCCTGCATACTGAGCGCATCTGACCGTACTCGCGTCCACATTCGCTTTGATATTTACCCCAGCTCCTGCAGCGACATTTGCCACTTGACGAGGCGAGGCTCCTGGCGTGGCAATCTTCGCTTCACATCACAAGAGCGCATCAGCGAGCCGAGTCCCGGCATTGTGTATATAACCAGGCAAGACTGGTGGGAGTTGGCATCAATATCATCCGCCTTTCATCATCCTTACCGCTTTCGGAGACGTCGTTCCATCCATTGCTACTGGAGAGTTTATCCACGGCTTGACTGAGGAGGGTGCGCGAAGCCACCGCGTGAGGTCGGTAGAAGGGAGGGAGCGCGAGATTCGAGGACGCGACGAACTGTACGCAAGGTAGAAAGGCGAGAAGGCGGACTGCGGAGCTGAAGACCACGACCATGGCTCGCCCTGTGAATGGTGTGGCGGCTATGGCGGCCTTGCTTCTGGTCGCGGTTGTGTGTGTTGCGGTCCCCGCACGAGCGCAACCTCCGTTGGTGACCATCGACTCCGTCACCTTTACGGGCTCGGGCTGCAACTGGGGGAACACCAACTACGTGCTGTCGAACGACTACAAGATCCTCACCGTCCTGTTCGGCGGTATGATTGCCACGACGGACTCTGGGCTGGCGGGCAAGCGCAAGAACTGCCAGATCTCGCTGGGCTTGAAGTATCCCAACGGGTTCAGCTTGACGCTGGGGAAGGTGACTGGCCGCGGCTTCGCCGACGTTGGTTACAGCTCCACGGGCACCTATCAGACGAGCTACTACATTTCGGGACAAACTGGGACGTCGTACGCGACACGCACGATCCAGGGCCAGTTCACCGGCAACTACGAGTTCACGGACGAGCTGTCGAGGCTCATCTGGAGCAACTGCAACAATGCTCCCAACCTCAACATCAACTCGGAGGTGCGAGTGAATGGAAAGAAGGCCGTCATGACGCTGGACTCCTCGGATCAGAAATTCGAGCTCTCGTTCAGCATCGACTGGCTGGCCTGCTGATGATGCTCTCACTGCACTCGTCGTGTACGGGTTGTCGTCCGCCGGGCGGAGTCGTTTCGTAATGTTACGTTGTTCTTTAGAGAGTAACGGGTAGTAGCAAGGGCAGACGGTCCTTGGTTTTTGTCGGAGCGAGCGGGGATGTGTGCTTCGAGCTTAGCAAGTTCGCCGGTTGCTCTGGGTGGTAGCACCAGTCATCAAATGTATATCTTTCGTATGCTTAGGAAGCGACTGTTAGATAAGATGATGTCGGGCACTCATCAGATCTTTCGGCTAGAACCCAAAAAGTGTAAGAAAATGTTTGGTGTAACAATCGCTCCTCATCCCGCAGGCAGGCGTCGTACCATTCTCTCTCTCTCTCTCTCTCTCTCTCTCTCTCTCTCTCTCTCTCTCTCTCTCTCTCTCTCTCTCTCTCTCTCTCTCTCTCTCTCTCACGCTTTCGCTCGCTCGCTCGATCACTGTCTGTCTCGGGAAACGCCTCTCGACCTCTCGGAGGATATGTTTGACACAATGGGCACGATCTTCTTTGTTGTGTTCTTCGACAC